TAATTACCAGGAGGGGGGGGGGGGGGGGGGGGGGCGTAAAACCAGAGGGGAGGAGCATTACATAAAATTGATGGCAAGATAGGGGGGCTCAAAGTAAAATTACCTAATAAACAGAGGGGGGGCCTTAAGTTTCATTCAAAATTTTCATAATAGTTCGATGTCTCTCAAAATGTTGGAAATCGCATTTCCAAGAGTTATTTCCTTCAAATTTTGAAAATTTTTTCAAAATTTTCTGGAGGAGGGCCAGACTCCCTTAATATTCAAGCCTTTGGTGTTCGTTAGACCCCCAGATCCAAAATATATGTCGCGGTCCCTGACATGTGCATAAAAAGTCCACGCTACGCGCCTGACTAATGGAAATCTAAATTCAAAGACTCGTTGATATTGTGATTGAAATTGACCAAAATATGAATTTGTTTTCAACTATTGATGTTTTCAATTTTGTCACATAAATTGAGGATGTAGTTTTCACATAAATAGAAGATGTAGAAGCTGAAAAACATCTTGATGTTTTATTGCACAGTCCCTAATCAAAATCATTTCTTCTTGCAACCTCGTAAAGTCCTGTAATATTTAAAGCCGTTCGTAATTTTTGCTATTTTTTGTGCTTTTTACGCGCGTGGACCTCCTGTGGAAGCTCACGTCTGAAAATGCCATTAACTTTTCGTCGTCGTCGTCGTGAATATTACGCTTCAAATTGGTAGCGCCTGCGTTGCAGATGGTCTGCAGTCTCAGTTTCCATGGGGATGTCAAACTAAACCAATCACCGCTTTGTTTTCATTTTTGACGTGTATTGTTCAGTCGGCCTCGTGAATCGCGACATCTACAATTGTAGCTTCACTTGCTACTGTGACCTGGTTAGTGACTGTACCGTTTCTATTGTTTATTACACGTACCCTGCTATGCAGGGGGTACGTGTAGTAAAATGCTGACCCTTTCTTGGTTTTTTTTTTTTTTTTTTTCACAATGTCGAAAGTTTGGCTTCGGTACATCTTCGTAGCCAATCACATTGTGAATTATATATCCGGTAGCCAATCACATTACGTTGTGTATTCCGAACGCTATAGCCTGTCGATAATCCCGTTCGCAACATTTCCAACTCGTTCTGCACAATGTTTTATCCGCCATTTTGATGAATATTGTCTCTACTAACGAATATGGAACAGAACATGAAGGTTTACGACCAAAATCTGGAACTCATTACTTGTCTGGGTGTTCGGACCAAGGGTATGTTGAATTGTGATGACGAGGAGATCTCACTACAGAGATCAACACGCTTACTACTCGTGAAGCAACGGCAACGATATAGTGATTGGGTTCCAATGATTGAATATCAATACAACTCTTTAGAAAATGCTTATTAATTCCATGGCTATTCAAACATCTGCAATAGATATGTCGAGTTTTAATGTAGATGTGCAAAAATATTGTGTTACTATCATATCAAAAGTTAATAAAGCGTCACGTTGTAACCAAATCATGCCTAGTTATATATCTCCGGGTATATCTGACCTTAAAATTATACTGCAGAATCACAAAGGCAGTTACAGCTGAAATTTTAAGAGCCACCACATATAAGCTTATCGCAAAAATCACATATATCTTGGCAAGGCTCGATGGATCAAATCATTTCTTTATTCTGTATCAGTAAGGTTTTAATAAGGCCTCATTTACTAATGATCTCACAACATCATGCACAACAAGGGGTACGTGTCAACCCTGCATACAGGGTCTAGTTATCTTTGGAGCAACTACGAAACTATGATATAATCTTTCAGGTCAAATTTGCATATTTTGAATAATTTAGACGCTCTTAGAGCGTAAAGTCGGGCCTCGGTAAAAAAATATGATGTGGTAAATAACTTAGGGTTTTCTCGACTTATTCCAAACAAAGACTGTATCGTGAAAATTATATAGTTATAGCTCAATGGCGGCAGCTGATCGACCTATTGTCGCAGCTACAGGAAGCCCACGTAAGCGATCAATGATCGTCTAGTTTAGAATTTGTTCGTCAATAGTATAGTTGAGCTACATAAAGGAATGTTTACCCTATTTATATCTTATAATAATGCCATCTAAAAATGAAGTCTCGTGGCAATCAACCGAGAAGAATGTTTTTGTCTTCAAAGAAAAACACTCTCGGGATGTTTTACCATCGGATTGTGAACCCATACACTTACAACAGAGCTGCACACAATCAACTGTTTCGGGGCTCCTGTATAAAGTCCGAACGAGTGACATTTGATGGAGGAACGAGAAGAGCAGAGAAATCTAGTATCCCGAGCCTTCGTTTTTTTTTGTGCCAGCGCCGTAAACGTAGCGAAATTTTATGCGAATTTTGATTGGTTCTTGAAATAGAAACAAATGCCGCCGGAAGTGGAATAACACCAAAAAAAACTTAAAATCCATGTCTAGATACATTAACCTAATTACGCTTTTTGTTCGTCAACACTCTCCAATGTTGAATATAGGAGACCTTTATGTATTATGTAGCTGTAGAAATGTCTAGTAGAACCGTACATTTAATGTTTTGAGTGGTCAGCTTCAACGGCAAACGCTCTGGCTCTTTTTTTTAACTTCGCATGCCCAGTTGAGTGATGATGGCCCACATCATTTGTTATCCTAATATTCGCGGGAAAGACGGTAGCGAAGGGAAAACAACAAAACGTTCCTATGGCCAGATCATAAATATATCCCAATATACATTGTTGAGGATAGATACATTGCTTGAAATTTAATTTGACTTTTTTTAAGCTCATTTTCATGATGGAATTTGAGAAAAAAAAATTTGGAAAATAACTCATGCGCAGTGGATACCAAGATACCGGAAGTCTGAAGTCTAAGAATCTTATGATCTCGACGGCAATGGCCGAGACAAATAGGCAAACGAAGGCTCGTTGTATTTCAAAACGCTTTACATACGCATACAACGAAAATGAGTTTCAAAACTTCAAGGTCGCGATACAATGATTTTCGCTGTAACAAAGATAGTACAATATTCAAAAATATTCAAAAAAAAATTCAAATACGGTAAATTCCGCGAATCAATCAGTACGTGGTTGTAACGGGGGAGGGGAAGGGGAGGATGCACTCGTTGTGACGCATTACGTACATTTCTTGACACGGTCACGAAGCAAGATCACGTTCACGAAGTGTCTGGAATTTAAAATTCGCTAAATATTCCACGAATTAGAAACACAACCAATCTGGCTATCAATCATATGAGTTGACGGCGAATTCTGTGGACGTGTGTAAGGTCATACCTGCATGTGCCACTGTGGGTTTCATACTTTGCATTTCAATAGAAAAATGACCGATTCTGCGGTCTTGGTTTTAGGATGTTTTACTTGAAAAAAATGGATTTGGAAAAACATCACTGCTAGTAAAAATTCGATGTAAAATTCACAATAATGAAGTAGGTTACTGAAGTGATAATTCATAGAGAGAATCAGGAATGAGAATTGAATTGTCTGAAAATCACTATAAAATTCAACTATGAAGGCAGGATGTTCATGCACGCAAAGGTATTTCCAAATATAGCTAAATGTTTGCCCGCAAATCATTTTTGATGCCACCGAATGAGTTTAAAATGAATAAATGAGCCAGAAATAATAATAAAAGAAAACTTTAAAAAGGGAATTCCAAAACATCATAAAAACAGCCTTTTTATACATTTTTTTTCTATCATTTGATATTTTTTAGGCCTTAATACATGGATAATTATATGACCATAGAAATCATAGTCAATCAAATATCACAGCAGTAAATCTTCCATGAGCGGACATCCTTGGGAAACGGAGGAAGCGTCCGTTGTTAAAGCTTTCAACCTAGTGAAAAAGCATGAATACAGTGTTTATAAGAAAGAAAAAGTAAAGCAGGGCTTGAAAAGCTGTCCATAACTCATAGAGTTTTCCGGATCAAAGAGCCTTAGCAATTAGAGATTAGACTGGTCTGACTTTTTGCCTATATGGGCTTTAGGTAGTAATATTTCTGTTCAATTTTTATAAAAAGAATATGGATGAATGGATGTAAACATTGACGAAAAGTTAACAAGATTCTACAAGTTAATGTAAATGATATACTGAAACAGATTGCAAAGAAAGACGATCTTGGGCAAAGTCAGACCGAAAATAGTTGGTTTGTTTATGCACCCATAAATCATTTAAGATGGCTGTATTTAGAGTTATGTGGCGTTTTCACCAAAATATGGAAAAATTCACGATTTTTATTGGATGAAAAGAAGAGTGTAATATGATGTAATGTGATAGTTGACGGTTTTTGAAACAGAAGATAAATCCCTTTTTAACTTTTGCCTTTAGACTTTGCTCATTCCACTCAAAATAATTTCATTTAAAAATTGAAGGTTAGAACTACTTGAATTACCAGATAACGAGTTTTTTTCAGTAAATTTACTGCGGAAATTGCGCGGAAGTCATAAATTATGAAATTTCAATTCTGCACCACGGAATAATCAAAGGAATGGAAAGACTGGAGGAAATTTGATTGATAATTAGATAACTTATTTGAAAGTGAAATCTTTCTTTGCACAAATAATCATAGTTTGTTGATATTTCTCAATTGAATTATACATTAGAGAGGGGAAAAAATGATCTTGAGATCGATTAAGAGATAACAAAACAAGTTAGACAAATAAACAATTAGCAGCTTTTTTCGTTAATTGAACTTGAAATCTTTAAACGAATAAAAATATATAAGAATAGAGTTGGTTCTCTTTTTTTGCAAAAAGTAAACACCTTTATGAAAGCGCAATATAAGATATTACAATAAGTTTTTTTGAGTTTAGATTTGGTCATGCAAGATTAAAAAAGAGCGCCTCTTTAACCTAAAATCACTTAATAGTAACATGTTATCAATAGAATGGCAACACTTTGATGGAGTTTTAGATTCGGTCTCAATAAAACAAACCAGGGAGACATTTTATCATTGCTGTTCCGTAACCCTGGTGACCTCTTAGTTAAGTTAAATGTTACACAAAATAATCTCTGTTTGCATGAATTTATTAAAATTCTAAATATAATTCTTACACTGGTATTGTAGTTAATAGATTAAACACCAAATGTTTGTCTGAGACAGTACAGAGGATCCTAAAGAAGACCTGTATGGAATAACTTGAGTGACATCCATTACTTGAATAAAATCGAAGAGTACTTTCTGTAAATCTACTTTAAGCCCAAATAACACAAATACCTTCTTCGTATAGCCCTAATGCTAGAACCAAGTAATCAAAATACTTTGGCCACCAATAACTATTATTGAGTTATTTGTGATAGTTTCAAGAAGAAAACATCGAAAACATATATATGTTCAATTATAAAAGTAGACCCAAACGAACGCTAAAATGTTCTATGAGAGAGTCTTGGGTGGAATGGATTCTGGAGCATGTTTAATTAATGTTGCAGTCATCTTTATAGAACGCCATTCAATGCAGACAACATAGCGTGACAGCGCCTCGAGGCGTCGTATAATTGCGATGAGTGGCTGTGTTTTTTCGAAAACAAATACATGGAGATTTCACTTAAGACGACTATTATCAGTTCAAAGCTTACGCATCTTCCAGTCTCGATACCAGACGTTATTAATGTCGTAAATATTCCGGCTAGCTATTCTCTAGCTATACATCCGTCGAAAATAAATTCTCAACAAGAGACCAGTGGTCGATGTCCTCAATATTCATTGAAAATTCCATCGGGTGAAAATCATATCCTTTTTGACTTGAATTTTCATCGCTAACCGTATTCTCATCGTCAACCTGGGATCGTTCAAGTAGACTAGAAGATTCTTCTTGTATTTCATCGAAATTTGTGATAGAAGATGTTTCCATTATATCACGAATTTCCGCAGTAAATGAGCTCATACTCGTATCATCTCGTGAAGAGTCCGTAATCTCCCAATCGTTATACCTTCTAACTCTTTCTTTTCCTTCTTTGCCCTTTGGCGGGAATTCCTCGCTGGCGTTTAAAGTTCCTCGAGAGCTCTCATAGTACCTTCTTTGCTCCGAAAGACTACTTTGACTTAGCCCTCGCGCATGGAGTTTGCGATTTTCCAAGTCCTCTTGATGCGCTTTGTGAGCAGCGTATTTGAATGCTTTGGAAATGACTTTAGCCAAGCTTTTGGCTTCTTCTTTACTTTCACATAATATAGCATGGCAATTTACTAAGTCTCCCTTTATTCCAAATTGATAGTTATAGAAAAACAATCGTTGATGTCTACCATACACACCGCAATACAGTATTCGCTTCAGACAGAATCCTTGCTCTTCGTCCTCTGTTTTGTCCGGATCTCGTAGAATCAGCGCTTCTTTTGTTATAACTAATGAACAACGGTTTAACTTCTTGAACCGACTTCTTTGTCTGTTATAAATGTCGTTTACAGTATCGCACATTTGCGATAAATCGGGTTTGTAAAGCTCCTCGCAGCCTAAATATTTGACTTTGTATGTCGGCCTGTGTCTCTCGAGGTCGACAGTCGTGTAGTCCTTCTCCTCGTCGAGCGTTGTTGTATCGGAACGACATGCAAACAACCTTAGCATTCCTATTATGTTGTCCCTTGAATGAAACTCCAGCTTTTTCAGCACGAATTCAAAATTTACTTCGCCGTAAAGCGCCTGAAGCCAGTATATTAATGACGGCTAGTAACTCATGACACAAGTCGAGCATATTTCGTAAACATGATGTATCGTCCAATAGCGGAAATAGCACGCGAAATTCAACTGGTATCACATGTGTTGGGTTGATTCAGCGATACAGTGCCCTCTTACCGTTATGTTAATCAAAAGACACGTTTTCAGCTTGAAACTAGTTATATCAGACTTCGTTCAGCATTGACCGAGCCAGGTCTAGTCTTCGACATCCAATCCGAATATATAATCCTATTACAGTCCCCACAGAAGACTCGTTTCTACGAAGAACTCTTTTCTCAAATTAAATGGTCAATGCCAGTGCGTTCCGGTCCCTGGAAATCCTATAATGATGATCATCAAATTCCTAATGAAAACCTCTTCGATTTTAATTAACCAGAAGATCAGAAGCGACACCTCACAGATGCTTTTGTCCTTGAGTTTTTGTAAACAAAACGCTCCAGTGGTTGTATATAGATGTACGTATAGTCAAAGGGCCGTACAACATCTAAGCAAATATATAAACTTGAGTATTATGTTAACAAGACGATATTAGGGTCTGGCGAAATTCAAGATGACTTTGACTTGATTATACAATGACATCATCAGCGTGCGTGACGGAAAGACGATCTCGCAAGCCTACTCGCTTCGTGTTTTTCAACACTACCAGAAGCTGATTCCGCAATGCGGAAACTACAACAGCATCTCCTTCATCAATGTCATTTTGACTTTACGAGTTTTTATGGAGCACATATAACATACAACATTCAGGAAACGCAGACCAATTTGGGTCACCCACGAAAACCACACCTTCCTAACTATAACCATTTCCTCAAACACATCTTTCAGGTTGAATTTTACGA